TGTGTGTGTGTGTGTGTGTGTGTGTGTGTGTGTGTGTGTGTGTGTGTGTTGGGGGTCCTGAGCAGATACTGATCCCTTCAATAAACTCCATGGATTTACCTGTGTGCCCCCACCCCCTGGTTTGGGGGTTATAGCAGCAGGCTGCCCTGAGCAGCTTTTATGTGGGAATTCAAAACTGGGTCCCCTGCTTGCACAGCAGATGCTTTCCCAAATGAGCCGTCTCCCCAGAGGAAAGGTTCCCAAGGATCCTCACCTAACAACACAAGCAACCCCCATGGCTGCCCAAGCCTCTGATAGCAGTGATAATTTATCTCATAACAGCGTATATTCCAGAAGGGTGAATCCAGATGAGCTTGATACAATAAATGTAGAGATAACTATTAAACTGAAATGCCAAACCGGGTGCACCAAAGAACAAACAGAATGCGTGCTCTGCCAAGCAAAATCTGGACTTCCTGGTCACATAGCAAACAACCATTTCAATGGCTCAGTGGAGCCATCATTCAAAATGATGAGCATCTCAAATGTCCCTTCTTTAACAACTGTTGCCAGTCGTGCAACAGAAGCCAAGTTCACCAGCAACCGTGCAAACTAGAAAGTGAACAATTAGAGTATTGTACAGGGTCAAATCCAAAAGCTCTTCTCCTTCACGAATTCACCAATATGCATTCATAGCCAACCAAAACTGATGGCACAGACCCTGGGATCTGTGAGGAGTCAGTGAGTCACTTGTTTTATTCCCCGGGGCTAATTTTATTCAAACTGGGAAGCTGATTTTAGCCAAGTTGCTGGAGGGAGCAAGGAGTTAGATCCTCAAAGCTGTTGTACCATAAAAAAACAAAAAAGATTAGGAGACAAATCAGTAGATCATACACACATGCATAGCCCCCACACACATACACACAAAACAGGACAAACAGACAAAACAAGAAAGTGGAGAGTGACTGGGAGAGACACCCGATGCTTTGTGCACACCCATAAGCACATGTGTGCAAACACAGGAACACGCTCACTCACTGAAATCATTCTCTCCTGCTAGAGTCAGCTAAGCCCTAACTACCTCCCATGAACCATGTGTCAATGTCACAGTAGGGGGTTGGTTGACCTCCCATGGGAGCTTAGGAGTTCAAGATGGAATCTGCTGTGGGTAAAGAGATTGGATACACTTTAGTTAACAAGGCAGAATTGAGAGGTTGACCTTCAGGGGACTGTTCCTTCATTAAAGGCCACAAGATCTCTTCAAATAGGGCTCATCTCTTTGTTTCCTAGATCACTCGGTCTATCATGAAGTCTCTGGGGATTAGACATTATTGTCATTCTTTTTGGAAACCCGATCCTCTGGATAGACCAAGCACACTAATAACAACCTAAAATTATCCATGAAAAGACTTTGCTAGGGTGAACAATACTACTACTTGAGAGCAATATTACCTGGAGAGAGCAATATTACCACCATCCCTCCTTACTCTTCATATTGGCCCTGGTTCTTCTTGTAGACAAACCCTTCTGAAGTGCTTTATGAATTCCCTTTTTCTTCTCTCATATATATATGGCTTAGGAGATGACTTAGCAGTTAGAGGGCTTGTTGAGAACTATGAGGACCAGAGTTCAGATTCCCAGCAACCCACATAAATGCCAGGTGGCTCTAATGGGTCTATCTGTAATTTCAGTCCCAGCAGGCAGACAGGATGCCCAGAACAAGCCAGTCATATTAGCAGTGACCTCTGGATTTGACTGAAAGATCTGCCTCAAGGAAAAAGGAAGAAGAGCAACCAATGATGATCCCCAGCATCCACCTTGGGCTTCCACATGCGTGCGCGCGCGCGCACACACACACACACACACACACACACACACACACACAGCAAATGTAAAACAAAGAGTACACTAGTGTTATGTGTCTGGACAATATACGTGTGAAGGATGGATGCCATATTGCATCTGCGGAGGTCAGAGGCCAGCTTTATGGAGCTTCCACCTTTACATGGATTTGGGAGATTGAACTCAGGTTGCCAGGCTTTTATGGCAAGCGCTGTGACCCACTGAGCATTCTCACTGGCCCATGGAGTCCCTTTCCTATACCCACGGCAGTTCCTAAATGACACAGTTCTTCAAGTCGGGTTGTCTCTAGACTCTGGATTCTGACTAGAACAGGGTTGCAGAGAGCTGCCTGCACATAAGGAAGACAAACTTCATTCTCCACTAGAACAGGTGCACACTAACAGTTATAGAGAGGGCCCTTGGGGCCAGCTCCTCTTCACACACCCTTTCTCTGTACTTTTGTGTGGAAAGAACTTTTCAATGGTCACGAGAGCCAGCCTTCAGGTGGGCTAAGCCCTCCCTTTCCAATAGGACTCTCCCAACTTTTAGAGAGGCGGTTCGGGTGATCAGTATAAATACCTTCAAATCCAGAATGAATATAGATAGATAATGGCCACAAAAGCCCATTCGAGTCAGCCAACCTCCTTACATGAGAAGCAACAAACCACACTCAGTCCATGACTCCCAGATGTGTTCAGTACCCAACGTGTCTCTCTTGAATTACATCAAACAGGACCATCCTTCAGAAGGGTTTGCTGCTCACTCTTGGGCTGAGAATAATTTGGACCACTCCCAATGGGAGCAAACAACTCTGTGGTACTAACCCTTGGCCTTGGTTACCTCCAGAGTGGACTGACAGATGTCATCTAGAATTGCTTGGGTGCAAGGGGCAACAGGAAAAAGTCCAACTGTTGTCCCAAGTTACCATACCCCTTCTTTCCAGGTTGGTCTTCCATGGGTACAATCACTTAGCTCCCATCTTTATTATATCTACAGGACTAGAGGATGCCGTTCGGTATGTTGAGACTCTCTAAATATACTGAGAGAGCTTGAAGTGACTTTGATTCTATCTGTTCCAACAAACTATGCTATCCATTCTCAATATGTCAATTAAAGCAAAAAGTAATATTGAAAACCAGAGAAGAGAGATGTAGTCAGTGTGGTCACATTGGGATGAGGAACAGAAGGAGGGCACCCCAACCCCCAAGTCCATCTTCAGGATCCTGCCATGAGTCTTAGGTCTAAATAGAGGGCAAGTTGTGTGCATAATTAAAGTCTTAGTCAGAGTTAGTTCTATCCATCAAAGCCTATGTTTCATGAGTTATCAGAATAGTGTGAAATTATTTCCTGGTAGGTAAGTGCTAACTCTGGCTAGCACTAGGGTTTTAATCACTTCAGTTTTGCAGCCTGGGATTCCTGGGGTGCCATTAGGACCCAATACAGTCTCTTCTTCATGGCCCACTTGGTATCAAATGATTTTGGCATGCAATGTCTGAGGGAAGTCATAAGAGATCTGTTCTAGACAGCAAGCACCTCAGGAACACCCTGAATAGAATGTTGTTTCTGTCAGAAGGGGGATGGCTGTCTTCGCGGTCAGTTCTTTCAGTGGTCTCACAGCTGAAGGGAAGGCATAGCACCTCTCTCCAGAACTCTTCCTCACCTGCTTGTCAGCTACAGCTCAATCCAACCTCTCTTCCTGGTCCCGAAGTCATGCAATGATGAGAAAATCAGTTATACAAAACTGTACACTCTCGATACTCTTGGGGCATCAGTGGAGGCCCTTGTGCTTTTACCAAGATTGAATGCTGTGTCTATAGTCCTGACAATTCCCTACAAAACCAGATTCAAACCAACCCAGACACCACCATCTGTTTTGGTAAGCAGCCTCAGAATTAGCTCTCCAGATTTCATAGTGGAAATAGCTTAGGCTTATTATAATCTTAGCACCAATCCTATTAGTCTCCAGACTTTGTGTGTTGTATTGCTGCCTCAACTCTCCCTTACAGCTGACCCACCCTCAGACGGTTCCGTGGCAACCTAGCACTAGGCATCTGGATACCTTGATTGTACACTGAGGCCGTAAAGTAGACAAGAGTGAAGACAGTATACCCCATCTCAGCCAGAGGTAACCAGACTGACTCAACACCCACCTCCTGAATGACTTTAGGGTCTCAACTCTCGAGGGGGAGATTGTTAGATAGCTAGTGATATGTTGGCAGGAATGGAAGGCA